GGTGTCCCTAATTGACCTGAGGTAACCCCTTCTCCGCTTACAGGAAAAAGGTCCTTTAACATTCTAGGGCTAATATATCCACCTTTAAGTACCCTCTTGCACCTGTCCGGCCTGACTTTGTCACAAGGTTTTATTGTGCACACACATTTTGAATTTACCTGTAGTTTTTCATCCCCTAATCGGAACTGGTATAATAAGGCTGGAGAGTCTGGATGACGAATCTGAAACTCATGGTCTTGCAGTCCAGAAATATCCTATTTTTAATGGAATATGGCAACAAAGGTAATCAATTCTGTACAGTCTAAGATTACTCTCTCAAAGCTTTTTACTTGTATTCATCAAGACAAAAAAAAATAATGAAACTCCCTTATGAATCTGAATTTTGTTTGTATTTCCTGTTTTCCAAAGCCTTTGTCCTGCAACAGGATCTGCTAATGCAGCCTTTTCTGCATGCAGATTCCCACTGAAGTCAACATGGCTGTGCTTGGGTAGTGGAATCCCATGTTAGCGGAACCTGTTGTAGGACTGGGGCCTAACATGGGAACTACGTGACTCAACAACCCAGAGGATTAACTGAACCATATGGAAGGAGCTCAGCAAGAAGCTTGCTGTGGGGAGCCCTCAATAGTGATGCAAAAATTATATTAATAAAATTATTTTAACTTATTTTTAATTAGGACATTACAAACTTGTTTGCACCTTTACTGAAAATTAAGCCATAGCTACAAGTATGTTATAGCCAGAATGTTTGGAAACATAACAGTGAATATGTTTAGTTAGAGATGTTATAAAATATTAAAGCTAATCAAAGAAATTCCTAAAGGTTTGTGCTTCCATCTCTCAAAGACAAGCAATATCAAGAAGACAAACCATGTCAGACATGCATGTTTTAAGTACAGGCCAAAGTGTAAAAAAAGAATGGAATGTGGTTATCAGAGCCGTAAATCTAAGTTGTAAAGTGTCTACACCAACCCCTCCATCTTTTCAAAGGAAAATCTCTGCTTGTGTTTTTGAACTCCACGAAAAACATGTGGAGTTGGAAGTGTTTTAAACTTTTATTGATTTCTTAAATGTAGAAATGGCAAACACCTTCTGAGATGTATATGTGCAAATATTTTGTATCTAAATGCAAGCGTTCATGTAATAACTGCCTGGTATCATGGTTATAGGACAGTGAAAGGTTTTATGCACAAATATAACAAGGTCATTTGATGCTACAACTGGATACTAACATTAGAAACCTTTCAAGTATACTTTATATTAACGGGGAATTAATTAATTACTAATAATGCACAAGCAAATCCTCACCCAACTCAGGAAGACAAGATAATCATTGTTCCAAAAACTGTCATGTAGAATCAACAACTTAAGCTTAAGACTTTTTCCCCACCTGGTCTAAATGACAAAATGTCTCCTTTAAGTGCTGAAGGAGAAGGCAGTCCATTTTATTAGCTAACTGACAATCCCTGTAAGGAAACCCAGCTCGCTGCATAAGCCAGTAAAAACACCTTGATACATCAGATCCACCATATGCAAGGCACAACCTTAAAAAAAAGAGAAAGAAATAGATGAACGTTAATTCATTCACTTTGCCCAGAGCTAACATTATGTATCAGCCTAAAAACAAACATGGACAATATTGTTCACATAGTTTACATAGCACATAGGGCCAGCTCCCGCTCTCTTTACAGAAGCAAAAACTCTCTAATACAGATCATGTAGTAGAATGGGATGCTCCTGTTGTGAAAGTCCTAAGTATTAAACCAAAAAACAATTAACTACATGAATAAGGGGTTGCCCTTATACATATCTACTAATAAATATTTTTTACTTTAAAAACAAGTAATGTAAGATAAAACATCTCCACCCCACCCTCTTTAGTGGTTTTGTAGTAATTTTGCTCATAAAGAAAAAATTACCGGGTGTTACGGTGTGAAACTCCATCCTCTACACAGCAAACACTTGTCTTCTGATCCCCTACATCTACTATACACGCACTACCTAAGCCACTTCCAAAAGTAGCACAGACAGACTCCTGATGGATCACTATACCTAAAAATATGAGAGGAAGATTAAGTCTGGTTTTAAACCAAGCTCCAGACATTTAAAGTAAACACTTAGTCTTTGTGTAGTAGATTTTTAAAATATATAACACTGAGGTCCTAATCCTGTACTGAAAGTTTAAATTGTGCAAAATAGCCACATTTGCCAGGAAAAATTTTCACCTTCCCACTGGTGAAGAGATCTTTTAAGCCTTTAGGAAAGATAAATTAAGGGCGAAGTGGACGTCTACATTGAAAGTTTCCTTGCTTTTATGGGTTTCGGAAAGAATCTGGACCTAACATCAACCTTAATTGTGTAGCGGGTATTAAAGGGCTTCAATTACCAGTAGCAGGCTGTGATACTTTGAGGTTTAACCCAGACCAGTAGGGGGTCATGTCACCAACTGTCCTGCAACTCTGAGTGCCTTAAGTGCTAAGCTGTGTGGTTCACAGCCCTGAGACCAACAGCCAGCCTACAAGCATGCAGGTCACACCTTGGCTTCCACCGCCCAGTTACTTTTTGCAGGGTGAGCCCAACATTCCCCCAGCCCCAAATTTCCCCAAAACTGTCTGCCCTGTGGTGTCCACCTCTCCTGGAATAGTCACAGAAGTTAAGTTTTCTGCTCCTTTAAAAAGAAAGTAAACAGCAGCTCATCACTTTAACTGGGGTTCGAGAAACTTATTTCAATCAAAGCACTGCACTGGTTTATAGTAAAACATTTGCTAACAAAAAGTCATAGGTTTAAGTGAAATCAAATAGGAATAAGGATAGAAATGATTACAAATAAACAAAAGTAAAAATGCGTCTAAAACAAACAATTTCAGCAAGTTACAATCTTTGCCTAAGCAGTTTTCTCACCTATACTCAGATCCCAGAGACTTCAGCCCTCTTACCTGAAAGACCAAAGTTCTGTGATTTCACGAACTCTGGCCCTTTCACTCCCTCAAGTGATGGATGCTAAAATGGCTCTCTGCCCTTGCTTATATTTTCCAAAATTCAATAACCTTGTGATAGTTAAAAGGCTATCTAACCCACTTGCTAATTTGATGGCTATGTTTATCTTGTTTGTAAATGTACCTTCCTTGTCCCTTCCTGACGATCAGGCTGGTCAGACATACAAATACGCATTCCTTTGTTTAAGGCTGGCTAGGTTTATACATTGCTTGCCAAACACATTTTAAGAACATAAAATTCTAGTATGTATTTATAAGTCTTATAATCAGCATGTTATCAGTTTGCATACACCTCACATGACACCTTTTAGACAGATTATGACAACGGCGAGTTGGTGTATACTGAGTATGTCAGGTCTGACAAGAGTTGCTGACACAGAGTAGTGAGCCACCAATGGGCCCCCATGTCACACAGAGAAGGCATTTTTCTCACATTTTTGGTTTTAATCCAGTCATTTCCTTTTTAAGTTTTGAGTAAGTTCTTTAAATGGATAAACAAGGTTTGATACCATGCTTCTGTGCATCCCCTTCAACCCACTTTCAACCCTCACAAACATTTTCTTCATGTTTGCACCCCCGCCATACACTTTCACTTGAAGAGTACTAAACAAAGACTCCCTTCAAATCCCCTTCTTCTGAACTCTGAAGGAAGAGAATTCCTCATTTTAGGCAAGTAGTTTGTAGAACAATATACAAGGACTAAATTTAAATGTAGGTCTTTTAAATAGAAGACACGGAGTTTAGTAGTTACATTCAGTAATTAGTTCAGCTCAACACTGAGTTAATGTTTAGGAAATGGCACCCTCAAGTGGAGATGTTGATAATATTTTAACTTCTATAACTTTCCAGTGTTTCATACTCATGCACCCTCACGTACACTGTTTAATCCGTCAGACTTAGCCAAAGAAAAACTAAAAATGGAGGCTTTAATTTTTTTAAAACTTTGTCATCAAACAGGCTTAGAGGAACAGGAGTAAAGTTTGGAAGAATTGAAGAAACGTGTGTCAGCCTCTTGTATGTTGCTACTTTTTCCTGTATGCACAACAATGTAGACATAAGCCTTTAAAGTCAAAGAACGAACATTTTTTCTTTCCACATACCATTAAACATGTAGTATTCTCCTCATTAGGGTATGCAACCCTAAGAGTAAGACCTTCCAACCAAAAGCTACAGGTCTGAGTTAGGAAACACCTGTAAAGTGCCAAAGGGACCTAACTGGCTATTTCATCTTAAAAAGAAGCAGCAAATCAATTTCATTCATATACATGTATTTCTTTTGCTGGTTGTTTTCCTCCCACCTACATAAACCTTTCAGATAGAACGTCCCTTCCTTTTATCTTATGAATTTTCTTTATCAGATACAGAAAAGGCTAAGCAAGTTCATACTGCTGGTGTCCAGCAAGGAAGAGGAAACTATTTGTTGCTGTGAGAATGCTCAGGAATAATAAACAATAAAGGATATTAAACATAAAAAGCACACAAAGATATATATATATATATATATATATATGCTTATGCAGTGGCTCTTAAACTTTAGTATTAGCGACCCCTTTCACACAGCAAACCTATGAGTGTGACCCCCCCTTTATAAATTAAAACCACGTTTTTTTATATTTAACACTATTATAAATGATGGAGGTGAAGCACGGTTTGGAGGTGGAGGCTGACAGCTCGCAACCCTCCATGTAATAACCTTGCAAGCCCCTGAGGGGTCACGACCCCCCCATTTGAGAACCCCTGCTCTAATGGCTTGCAACTAACCACATTTTATCATCATTTAGTATGTTAACTATTGTATAACTTATTTGTTGCCAATTTCTAAGCCTCTCTGTTGATCTTTCAAATCTATTTAAGAGTTTTAAGTGCCTAATACAGAAGTGGACTTTCTGGCTCCTGCAAGGACTGTTTGATAAGTTTAAACTTAAGCACTCTGTTCATACAGCAATTTACACTGCCAGTGCTATGGTGACTCTAATAAACAAAATATAATGTGACACAAAAAGTGAGTCTTGGACTTTCAAAAAAAACAAAAACAAAACAAAAAAACCCCACCACATTATATAGAAAGTTTGTTAGCTTTATGAACTGAAAGGGAATTAAATGTCCCTATTTCCTATAAAAAGAAAGGACTTTCAAAATAGGGGAAAAAATATTGAAGAGCAAATAATTCAACCGTTCAAAAATCAATGTACTTTACTTTATAAATATATTTTTTAAATCATCTCCTGCTTAGAGTGTAAATATTTAGGTCATCCAGATACTACTTTTGTACAATCCATCAGTGAAAAGGAGAATAACAGCACCTTGCATTTATATAGACCCTTTATTTGAAACCCTGAAGGATCTCAACATTCTTTGCACTGAAATTTCACCAATCACTAAAATGCAACAGCAATAAGACGGCACTGAGGCTTCAGACATCAGTCTGTTACCATGCAAGGTATCCCAATTCAAGAGCTGCTTTATGATTTACTTTGTGTAGGTTGGTGGGGAGGAAGCCTCACCTGAAGTGATCAGTTTGGTCTTTTAACAAGTAAATGAAGAGCATGAGTAACTTGCCGTAATGCTGGCTCACTACTTAGCCCTGCCACAAGAGACAAGAGTTGCAGTAGTGACTGGCAAGAGGCCAGGGGTACCAGTCTCAGAATAGAAAGTGGGTCTGGCTCAGAAATCAGATGCCTTTAAAAAAATCCTTAAGCTATACAAATTAATATTAAATGCGCACTTATTCACTTTTACCTGAAAAGCCCATCTTCATTAGGATCATATGTACGAGTTCTTTCACATGTTGTTTATTATAGATGTCTGGTATTAGTAAAATGCATCTGTAATACTGAAGAAAAAAGCAAATTAAGGGCAGCCTTCAAATCAATGTAGAGTTCAAAATAATTCCTTCATATATGCTAGAATGCTAGATGCCCCATGGTACGCTACTGAAAAAATACAGATGTAAAGGCACTGAGAAGAAGCAGAACAATTGGAGAAAGAGTGGTTATGTAAAAAAACATTTATTTTCATCATTTAAAAATTCAGTTCAATGTGGTATCAAATGTCTGTATTTATAGGAGCTTAAGAAATGTTTAAAAACATTTCATGCAATAACATGGCAGACACAAGAAAAGCCACCTGCTCAATAAGAACAATTAAGCAGGTTTAGCCTGGATGTGCTGTTGGTGGCCTGCGATGTGCAGGTCAGAGTAGATGATCTGGTGGTTCCTTCTGGCCTTAGATTCTGTGATTCTAGACCTCAGTCCCTTAACAACTCTAATCAACCTATGAACACAGAACAATGAAGTGAAATATTTTATTAATTTGAATTTTCAAAGACAATCCAACTTACTTTTAAAGTTTCAGTACCAAATGCTGCCATCAGATAAGTGCACAGAACTCCAAGTAAAGTCTATGGGTACGTCTATACCCAGCCGCTAGTTCGGCGGCTGGCAATCGAAGTTCTGGGTTCGACTTATCGCGTCTTGTCTGGATGCGATAAGTCGAACCCGGAAGTGCTCGCCGTCGACTGCGGTACTCCAGCTAGACGAGAGGAGTACCACGGAGTCAACGGGGGAGCCTGCCTGCCGCGTGTGGACCGAGGTAAGATCGAACTAAGGTACTTCGAACTTCAGCTACGTTATTCACGTAGCTGAAGTTGCGTACCTTAGTTCGATTTGGGGGGTTAGTGTAGACCAAGCCTATGGGAGCTATGCACGCTGGGGGACAGAATTTACCAAAAGGTTGAGAGACAACACTGTCAGCAGCAAGAGTAAGATATCTTAGGTGTCTCTTTAGTTGACACCCTCTGGAAGCCTCCGGACAATGCAAGAGATGGAGTTAAAATAACTTACTCAGCTGAACAGAAAGTGACCACAAGCTCACCTTTAAGTCTTTCAGTGGTATTTCCAAATATTTTTGTATTACGTGCGACCAGATAACTTCAAGATCTGCTAGTACTGCAGTAAGGGAGCCGCCAGGCCCTGGGTGAAGGTTTAACTGTCCTCTTCGGATAGGCCAATGAATATTATAACAATCTAAAGGATTAACATATAGCGCCTGAAGAGAAAAGAGAAAGAAAGGTTAATAATTAATGATAACAATCTGTTCTGTTCGGTAGCTGAGTCAACAGATTGTACGCACACAGTGCACAACGTGGCCCTGATCCAGGATCAGGGCCCCTACACATTACTGCAATACTTTTAAAAAGTAACCTCTTCTCAAATGGAAAGAGCTTTCCAACTACAGCAATGGGAACATGACTGGACAATCCAATACAGAATAGGAAAAAAATGGGTAAATAGTTCAAGATCTGAAACTAAAAATCATCTGAATACGCATAACAATAGAAATAATCCCATGGAGTGGTTGGTAACATATTTCAAGTATTAAACCAGATTAGAGAGAAAAACAGTGCTTAATAAAACACTCTGAAGTACTGAAATAATCAATGAACAAATTATGTGGCATATGATGCCTTGTGCTGATCTGGTCCCTGATTTCTTGCCTTTTCTGTACACTATACACAATGGGACAGTTTAATTTAGTCGATGAAGAAATGCTAATTTACACACTAGCTGAGGATCTGACCTATTGCTTTTATTAACAACTAACTAAAAAGTTTCTTGCGTTAATCATTGTTGTTTTATTTGTACGAGGAAAAAACAACATAGGAAAAGGATTCTTAAAAGAACTACAGTTTACTCTAATTTTTTTCCAGGTTAGGGAATTTTCATGTCATGCTAAATGACACTAAATGATTATGTAGCCTCTTTGGGAGGATTCTCCCCTTCCCCCAGCTAGAGACTTCATCATTATCTACTGTTTGAATATTTAGGGTAACTTGCCTTTTGATACATATTACACCTCTACCTCGATATAATGCTGTCCTCGGGAGCCAAAAAGTCTTACCGCGTTATAGGTGAAACTGCGTTATATTGAACTTGCTTTGATCCACCGGAGTGCGCAGCCCCGCCCTCCCGGAGTGCTGCTTTACCGTGTTATATTCTAATTCATGTTATATCAGGGTAGAGGTGTATATCAAATTGTGAATTTAAATATTTGCATTAAAGGACGCTATCAGCACCTTGTTTCAAGGGAAAAGTGAATTCCTACCTCTTCTCCTACCAGATACTCAGGATGATGGGACGTATTTGTCCATTTGTTCCCAGAGCTGTGATCTAGAATAGCCGGTCGCATCTGTCTGTTGTATGATCGGGCCTGTAATGTAAATTAAGTCATGCATTATTAGGAAATATTTGGCCAATCATCTTTTATGCACAAGTGGAAAAATATATTGAAGGGTCATTTTGAGAATGCACTTTCCTCTTCTGTATGGCCAAGGCACATATGTTGCTTACTGTTGCATGAACTGCTCTCCTTTTACCCTTTAGAAGATATCAAATTGAACTACTGTATAACAGAACAATTTAACAAACAATTATGAATGAGTTACCTGATCAGGTGACACTGGTATACGCCTTGCACCATTTGACATCTTTTTGGACCATATTGCTTGATCCACCATTTTAAGGCCATTTTGTCTTTGCTCAGTACTTTCAGGTTTCTAAAAAAAAAAAAAAAAAACCATCACATACAGCATAAAAAGCTCTCTTCCAAAATACACCTCAACCCCGATATAACATGGTTGTGGGGAGCCAAAAATCCCTACCGCGTTATAGGTGAAACGCCATTATATTGGGGTAGGGGCGGCAGGGCTCCAGCGGTGATTTAAAGGGCCCGGGGCTCCCCGCAGCAGCCAGAGCCCCAGACCCTTTAAAGTGCCACCCAAGCCCCGCTGCCGCAGCCCTGGAGTAGGGGCGGCAGGGCTCCAGCGGTGATTTAAAGGGTCCGGGGTTCCCCGCAGCAGCCGGAGCCCTGGACCCTTTAAAGCGCCGCTGGAGCCCTGCTGCTACCGCGCAATATGCGAACCTGTGTTATATCGGGCCGCGTTATAGCGGGGTAGAGGTGTACAGATAAAGTATACAACTCTGTATAATGAATACTGAAGCTGACAGTCAGTAAAATATGTGAGATCCCTATAGCGATTAAATGACGAGATGATGAGAAAGCAAGTATGGTGAATGTACAATGACTTTTGGAAAACACTCATTTGTTTCACAAGCCCAAACACACAACTGAAGTCAAATTAGAGTCTTTCCATTAACTCTAGTGAAGACGCGATAAATCGAACACCGAGCGCTCTCCCGTCGACTCCGGTACTCCACCGGCACGAGAAGCATAGGCAGAGTCGACGGGGGAGTGTCAGTAGTTGACCTACTGCAGTGAAGACAGCGCGGTAAGTACATTCACTTCAGCTACGCTATTTTCATAGCTGAAGTTGCGTAACTTAGACCGACTTAGCTCGCTCCTCCTCCCGTGTAGACCAGGCCTAAGTAATGCCTAAAGAAAATAAAATGTAAAAATACTGAAGATGCTAATTTGGTGAATTAATTTACATGAAAGACTCAAATTATAAATATCAACTGTGTACATTTAAACTAAATTTGCTCAATCATATTCTTAAAAGAGATTATACTGCGTAATGTATTAAATAAATTACAAACTTCATTTTGAATATGCTGCAAATGAAATCATCAGATTTTAACTTTATTCCACTCCAACCACCATTCCCAAAACATGAATGTAATGTGTGATGGAAGCAAATAGGAAGATCCGTTAAAGAGCTTGTAATGTGTGCATATGATTCTTTCATTTAATGCGTTCAGAATGAAGTAGAGGTGCTCAAACTGCATAAGTTGTGCAATTCTGTTAACTTCAGTAGAGTGGCACCTACTTATACCAACAGTAACCTTGACCACCAGTAATAACAATTTCACCTAACTGCCTATTAATATATTTTCTTTGTTGTTTAGTCACAATTTTTACTGAGCGGTCTTTTCTTTCATTCTTTTGATATTAGTTTTAAACAATCATGGTGTTTCTTCGGAAAAGTATGTTTGAATTTAACAACAGGGAAAATACGAAACCCACAATTCATAACCAATAGTCAATTTTAGCTGGCCTTGAATTGTTACAATTTCTGAACAACATGGCACTTACATTGAGTCCATCTCTTAGGAGCCAACTATCTTTGTATACAGGCTGTCCTTGATGTTTCTGTCTTCTTGCAATGATATGGGGAGTACTAACAGGAAGCGTGTCAGTGGCTCTCCCAATTCTCAGAGTTGTTGATCCAGGATGTATCACAACAATGAAGTTGCTTTGTATTTGCTGGAAACATTGAAATACACAGTAGTATACTACATGCATGTCCATAAGTGTAGTCCACTCTGCCTATAATTGCCTAATATCTTCCTGAGTTTACAGTCACTTCTCCCTGAACTGCCACCTTCTACAAATGAACCCCCTCCCTGTTGTTATAAATGTACATTATAAAGTAGTGCCTTTTATCCCAAAGGATTTCAAAGTGCTTAATCTATATACATACAAAACCACTGAAATGCAAGTCTTGGGTGGAAAAAGGCAGCCAGCTGGGATACTCACAAAATGCTTCACACTAGTGTACAAAAGGAAAATTTTGTCTCAGGATGCCAAAGTGTGTGTAATGCAGGCAGATGCTAAACATTTAATATCTCAAAATGACTCTACAACTGATGCTTGTAACTTATATTTGCTCCGGATTTAACATGGATAAGATCAACAATGCCAATTACACAGTTCTGAGGACTAAGAGGGACCGGACACGGCTGCTACTCTGAAAACAGTTCTGAGGATGTCCCCAGCACATGTTTTGAAGTACCCCGGGTACCATAGAAAAAGAGATGCTTGCTCTATTCCCACATGGCAGGAAAGCCTTTGAGAAGGGAAAAATAATCAGCTAGCACAGATCAAAGTTCTTCCAAACTAGACAAGATTAAAAAGAAGAACTTTACAATAAGATGATTTAGCTGCCTTTGAGACTCCTCTGTCCTGGCCAGAGAGGGCAACAAGGAATCTCTTTGGATTCCTAGGGCAGCCCCTTTCCCTTCCGTCTCCGGGGTCTTCCCTGCGGAGAATGCGGGTGCAGCTGCCAAGGGGAAGGGGGCACAGCTAGCACAAGGTGCAGCGGGAAAGGGGCAATGCGAGGAGAAAGAAGAGCGCTGCTCGTGCAGAAAGTGGGGGGCGCGCTGGGGGCAGCAAGGGGAGAGCAGCGAGACGCGGCGAGGAGAAAGGAACAGCCGGCAGGGGAGAAAGACCTGATCAGACAGCGGAGGGACGTGCAGTGTTGTGGAGCGGAAGGGATGAGCTACATGAGAGGAGAGGGGGTTGGGGGAGGAGGAAACCGGCGCCCCGAGGGGGCTGGGGGAGGAGGAGGGGAGCCGCGCCCCGAGGGTAGCGGGCTGGGGAGCTGCAGCAGGGCGATGTCTAACCTGCCCGGCGGGGCTCACCTCCTGCAGGGACTCGGGCACGGCGGCGGGGACGATAGGCCGCTTGGCTCCGCGCTGCTCCCGCTCCTTGTCTCGCTCCTTGTCCTTCCCGTTCTCCGCTTCGCCTTTCTCTGCCTGGGTCATGGCCGCCTGCGCGGGTCCCCGTCACCTCCCCGCCGGCCAAGCGACACCGAATGCGGAGGCCCGCGCGGGCCCTGCCTGCACACAGGCCGACCGGCAGCGCGCCCGGCGTGTGCGCGCGCCCGCTCGGGGGCGAGGTTCGGCGAGCAGCGCAGCGTAGCGCCCCGCGCACTGCCCCTCCCCGCGTTCACAGGGGGAAGTCAGGCCTGGCCCATGGCTCCAGCAGCAGCTTAGGCCTCCCCCACCCGGGGCACATGCACAAGGCACCCACCCCCTCCAACAGAGTCTCACTTCCCTCCTGCAGCCCCCAGGGCCAGCTGTCACCGTCTCCCCTTTACTGAGTTATCGGAGTAACAGCAATGATTATTCCCTCCTCCCCCAATTTATAATTTTGCGAGGGTTGAATAGTTTGCAGAACAAGATCATGAAGAGATAAGAGGACAGATACTGTCACATCCCCATTGACCACCCTGTCCTAGCTTGGCAGCGTTTACCTCTGGAAGCAGAATATGCAATGCTACCATAACTTGAAGGATAGAACAGCACTGTATGGGGAAGGCGGGTGATAGTGTTCATCTGTAAAGCTATATGTGTCAAAGAAGTTAGAAAATTATAGCAGTCCCTCAAGTTGGAAACATTTGCTGAAAATTTGAAATTGCACATGCAAACCCTCAGCTCTTAACTGTTCAAAGTCTAATCCCTTCAAAAGTCCAGAGTACTCCATACTATTTATTTAGGAAAACATACTATTTATTTAGAAAACTCATCAAGCTAATGTAGAAAGCTACCTTTCTTAGAAACTGCATATAGAATTCAGACAGTTTTTTTTAATATTATGCTTATTTCCCCCAGAAGCATGGTTATTCTGTGCACATTATGCAATATTAAAACATTAACTACCTACATGTGCATCACTCCACCTGTTTTCCATTGTGGGAAGGAAGCTATTTTTATGGACAACAGGGTTTTTTTTTTAAAAGGGTAATCTCGATCTAAACCAATAGATAGGTTTTTCTTGTTACAAGAGACAGTGTTTAAAAAGAAATCTAGAAAGGAAGTCCAATACAGACAGGAACTTTGCTTTAAATGCCTATAAATCATAGTTCTGAACTACAGGAAGGGCTGGTTTTGCCATTCGATGACCATGGCATAATCAAATAAACAATGAATTTATACTACTCTAAGGTATAGCTTCAGTTGTTACAATAATTAACTGCCTCAGAAGCTTAGAAAAAAGTTCAAATTAATAAACAATCTCACAATAATACATAAGGCATCTGATCCTGATTTGGCCAGGTACACCTCTACCCAGATATAACGCTGTCCTCGGGAGCCAAAAAAATATTACTGTATTATAGATGAAACCGCATTATATCAAACTTGCTTTAATCCGCCAGAGTGCGCAGCCCCCCCCCCCGGAGCACTGCTTTACCGCGTTATATCCAAATTTGTGTTATTGGGTCAGAGGTGTACTTAAATGTGTTCCTAACTTTGAGCCCATTAGAAGTCCCTTTGAAATCAACAGGAACACTAACATGTTGAATCAGGAACTAAATAACAAGATGGTCAGTATATTCAGTCTGAGGATATAGATGAAAGTGGTAAAACTGGAAGAACAAAATTTACACACAACTTGGGAGAAGTTTTTTCCTCCCCCCTCCCATAGTAATATATCTGTATTTATTCTTTAGCCTGTTTTCACTGTGAAGAAAAAAAAACTTTTCACATGTTTGAACAATACCAAGTACAATGGAGCTCCTCCCTGAGTAGCATTTTAAAATGGGAGTATGTCAAAATGCACTACAGAACTTTTGGTGCAAGTAGCAGGGTCCACATGGCCAGGTAGTGGCCTATATATTCACACCCTGCCCACTAACTGTAGACAAGCCCTCAGGTGAAGTCTAGAAGTTGTTTAGCCCATCACAGGCACAGATGTTAGAAGATAAATATTCTGCATATCCAGTTAGTAGGCATTTTTTTGGTGTGTGAAAAGGAAACAGTATAAAAAGTTGCATGAAAAAGGGTCTCAAAAATAGTAAAAGGTTAAAAAGAGGTAACATTTTTAGACTACATAATGACCACTGCAGAAATATAAGAAATGGAAAGGAAAACGCTGTCGGTTTCTATTAAGATACAATAGTAGATCTGAAATGTGCCAAGAAATGCCCCTTCTTAAAGTTTGTCCCTTGTGTCATCTTCTGTAACAAATGCTAAAAGGTGTCATGTGAATGAATTTTCTTTGGTCATGAATGTACTTACAGTATTATTAACAGAATTATTTTAATAGTTCTTATTAACCAAGGATGAAAAGAGTCAATGTTTTGCAAAGCCAAATATATTTGCTTATTACTTTGCCACGGCAATAAAATATTCACAAACTATACAAAAACGCTTTGAGACAGACAGTAAAACATGTGCATTTAATAACACTGCACTTCAGTTACACTGGATCCTGGAAGAAGGAATTCCCAGCACAACTTCATTATCTGCTTAATTGCAGAGCAGTTTCCATTAGACATACACATTCACAACATTCAAACTTGTTTGGTCCATCATCTAATGCTTCTTCCCTTCAGTCTTGCAAATGTGTAAGTCCAGTTGCCTGCCCTAAGAAGCAGGCATTTACCTACAAATAAATGGTAAAATAAGTTTTTGTTTGCTCTACTATTTTGCATTTATACTACATAAAGCAGCCATTTTAAACAAATGAAATAGACTTTAGATCTATGAATTGCTAAGTACAGTGTGTGACATTCTGTACCTTGGGGGAGTGCCCTGTAATGCCCACATTCCTCATTTAGATAGCATTGTGATCTTGCATATAAAGCAGGCCGTGTGAGGTACCAGGGGAAAGGTTATGATCTGCTGAAAGTTATTTTTCTATCCATACATGGATATGAAGTTATGAGAATTGCGTTGTATGGTTCTCACTAAAACATGCTGTAAGTTGGGGAATCGGCCAGATGTTCGCTCCCCAGAGACAACAGCAAGGAAAGTAACCAATGCCTGGGTGGGGTGTCAAACAACCCATCAACAGCCATTGTCCAGCAAGGGAGTTACAATTCAGTGACTCACCTGCATAAGGCCACACCAGGGGAACTGCTCAACCCTGCCTGGGGATTCAGGGCTTGTCTACCCTGGCACTTTACAGCGCTGCAACTTTCTCGCTCAGGTGTGTGAAATAACACCCCCGTGAGCACCACAAGTTTCAGCGCTGTAAAGTGCCAGTGTAGACAGTGCACTAGCGCTGGTAGCTATTCCCCTCATGGAAGTGGGTTTTTTATAGTGCTGGGAGAGCTCTCTCCCAGCGCTATGCCAGCGCTACACAGACACGTTAAAGTGCTGCCATGGCCAGCACTTTAACGTTGCTAGTGAAGACATGTCCTTAGCAATGCCCACCAGAAATGCCTGGACTTGTGTTGTCCTACCACATCAACAAAGGGTAAGA